CTGAATCGTATACGAAACGTGTGTGCATCGAATCGAATACGATTCCAATGTGGGCCGTTCACGATTCCGATGTGAAGGGTAGACGGTTGCCATGCGAATCGCATGCGATTCTCATCTGAATCGTATACAATCCCACCAGCCCTTTGGGCGTGAGTGGTTTAGAGAGCCCGCTCTGTCCTCAACCCCCCGTCTTCCCCTTCGGGGAGGGGTTTACCCCTCCCCCTACCCCCTCCCCCTGGGCCTGGAGAGGGGGTCCCGCGGGTCGTCAGGGGGGTAAATTTCGACTCCTGGGAGGGCTAAAAAACGACACCCCTCACGAGGATTCTGCCCCCGACGGGGGGAACGAGAAAAAACCCTCTCCTCTTCTTTGAAGGCAAAATCATTGATTTTACTACGGTTTCGGCCCCATTTTGGCCTTCTGAGGGGGCCGCGCTCCTCTTCCTTCATAGCAAAATCCTTGATTTTACGAAGGTTTTGGGCTCATTTTGTCCATCTCAGGGGGCAGCGCTCATTTGCGCTTCTGAGGAGGTCGCCAGAGGCCCCAAGATGGCCCCAAGAGGCCCCCAGGAGGCTCCCAAGAGGCCCCAAGAGGCCCCCAAGAGGCCCCCAAGAGGCCCCAAGAGGCCCCAAGAGGCCCCCAAGAGGCCCCCAAGAGGCCCCAAGAGGCCCCAAGAGGCCCCCAAGAGGCCCCCAAGAGGCGCCCAAGAGGCCCCCAAGAGGCCCCAAGAGGCTCCAAGAGGCCCCCAAGAGGCATCACGAGGAGCCCGAACGACTCACACCAGGACGAGGGGCCCGAACGACTCACACCACGAGGAGCCCGAACGAGTCACACCACAAGGAAGGACCCGAACGACTCACACCACGAGGCGCCCGAACGACTCACACCAAGAGAAGCCCGAACGACTCACACCAGGACGAGGGCCCGAACGACTCACACCACGAGGAGCCCGAACGACTCACACCAAAAGGAGGAGCCCGAACGACTCACACCAGGACGAAGGGCCCGAACAACTCACACCACGAGAAGCCCGAACGACTCACGCCAGGACGAAGAGCCCGAACGACTCAAACCACGACGAAGAGCCCGAACGACTCACACCAGGAAGAAGGGCCCGAACGACTCACACCAGGACGAGAGGCCCGGAGATATGCGGGGGCAGGCGGAAACACGCCTGAAAAACACGACTGTCAGCATGCTTCGCAAGAGTTGCTGTTTTGAGATGGGCTGGTGGGGATACGCGAAGCGTGAAGAATCCCACCAGCCCTCTGGGCGTGAGTGGTTTAGAGAGCCCGCTCTGTCCTCAACCCCCCTTCTTCCCCTTCGGGGAGGGGTTTACCCCTCCCCCTACCCCCTCCCCCTGGACCTGGAGAGGGAGTCCCGAGCGTCGTCAGGGGAGTCTTTTTCGACGCCTGGGAGGGCCAAAAAACGACGACCCCTCACGAGGATTCTGGCCCCGAGGGGGGGGAGGCAGTTTGGCGCCTCAGCTCGTCGTTGAAGCAAAAAACATTGATTTTACTACGGTTTTGGCTTCATTTTGGCCTTCTGAGGGGGCCGCGTTCCTCTTCCTTCTTAGCAAAATCATTGATTTTACCAAGGTTTTGGGCTCATTTTGTCCTTCTCAGGGGTCAGCGCTTATTTGCGCTTCTGAGGAGGTCGCAAGAGGCCCCAAGATAGCCCCAAGAGGCCCCCAGGAGTCTCCCAAGAGGCCTCCAAGAGGCCCCCAAGAGGCCCCCAAGAGGCCCCAAGAGGCCCCCAAGAGGCTCCCAAGAGGCCCCCAAGAGGCCCCAAGAGGCTCCAAGAGGCCCCCAAGACGCCCCCAAGAGGCCCCCAAGAGGCCCCCAAGACGCCCCAAGAGCTCCAAGAGGCCCCCAACAGGCCCAACGAGGAGCCCGAACGACTCACACCAGGACGAGAGACCCCAACGACTCACACCACGAGGAGCCCGAACGACTCACACCACAAGGAGGGGCCCGAACGACTCACACCAAGACGAGGCGCCCGAACGACTCACACCACGAGGAGCCCGAACGACTCACACCAGGAGGAGGAGCCCGAACGACTCACACCAGGACGAAGGGCCCGAACAACTCACACCACGAGAAGCCCGAACGACTCACGCCAGGACGAAGAGCCCGAACGACTCAAACCACGACGAAGAGCCCGAACGACTCACACCAGGAAGAAGGGCCCAAACGACTCACACCAGGACGAGAGGCCCGGAGATATGCGGGGGCAGGCGGAAACACGCCTGAAAAACACGACTGTCAGCATGCTTCGCAAGAGTTGCTGTTTTGAGATGGGCTGGTGGGGATACGCGAAGCGTGAAGAATTCCTAGATGAACCGTAAGGAACCCTCAAAGAATACAAGAATCCCCATATATCCCCAAGGAATCCGAAGGAATTCGACGCAATCCTAAAGAACCCGCAGGTTTCCGAAGGGACCCCTACGGATCCTCATGAATCCTGAGGAATACGCCGAACTGGAATCAGGAGAAATCCTCGAGAATCCTATGGAATCCTGAGACACCCTCAGGAACTCTAGAAAAATCCGTGGGTCCGCTGAAGCCTCCAGGACATGTTTCCATCAGGACCCTTTTCCTTCATGAAATATCAAGAAATTTACATAGAGAGCGAAGGGGCTTTGACGGCCACGGCGAACCTCGGCCACAACAGGGTCTCCAGAGTCTGACCCAAGAACGGTTCGGGAATCGCAGCCCATCCCAGGCCAAAGGTAGGTTCCTTCCGCCTCTTCCTCCGCGTCCTCACCTCCTCCTCCTCCTCCTCCTCCTCCTCCTCCTCCTCCTCCTCCTCGTCCTCCCCCCCCTCCTCCTCCTCCCCCTGCCCCCCCCAGGCACGCCATCCTGCCTGCGGGCCGTGGGTAAGTCCCGCGACGACGAGGACGAGGGAGGAGAACGACGGCGAATGAGGTAGGAGGAATGTGGAGTACGACGAGGGTTTGGTGTTTGGGGTTTGGGGTTTGGTGCTTGGGGTTGGGGCTTTGGGGTTTGGGGTTTAGTGTTTGGTGTTTGAGGCTTGGGGTTTGGGAGTTTTGTGTTTCGTGTTTGGGGCTTTGCGTTTGGGGTTTGGTGTTTGGTGTTTGGGGTTTGGGGTTTGCTGTTTGGTGTTTGGGGGTTGGTGTTTTGGGTTTGGTGTCTGGGGGTGGGTGTTTAGGGTTTGGTGTTTGGGGTTTGGTGTTGGCGTTTGGTGTTTGGGGTTGGGGGTTTGGGGTTTGGGGTTTGGTGTTGGGGGTTTGGTGATTGGGGTTGGGGGGTTGTTGTTTGGTGTTTGTGGTTGGGGTTTGGTGTGTGGTGTTTGGGGCTTGGGGGTTCGGGTTTGTTGTTTGGGGTTTGGTGTCTGATGGTGTCTAGTGTTTCGTGTGTGTGTGTGTTTGGTGTTGTGGGGGTTTTGAAGGCTCCCACCGGGGTATAGCCAAGCTTTGCCGGGGTATGGCCCGTTCAGCCGGGGTACATCCCGTCCAACCAGGGTATTGGAGTTCGGCCGCCAGGACCCCAGGGGCGGAGGTCTTCTGACCCGGGGGCCCCACTCCCCCATCACCGGCGGGACCTTCCCCCGGGGACCCCTCCTACCAATCTGACCTGTCTAGTCCCACCAGCCCTTTGGGCGACAGGTGGTCTAACAAGATCCCTCTTCCCTCTTGCAAAAAAAAACTCTTCCCCTACGGGGAGGGGTTTACCCCTCCCCTTACCCCTCCCCTGGACTTTTTGGGGGACCCTTCCTGCCAACCCGACCTGTCCAGTTGCTGCCCTGGGGAGGCCTGTGCTCAGGGGGAGCTGTAGCATCGCTCCACGATGCGTCTTGAGCGAGGCCTGCAGGCGTTGGCTTCGGCTTCAGCTGTGATGTACGCACTCGAGCCAGCTCACACGAGTCGGCTTTCCGCTCGCATGGATGCATCCCTCCCTCTCTCCCTCCCTTAGTCCGTCCCTCACCTCTTCCTCGCTGTTTATCATTATCCTACTCTCTCTCTCTCTCTCTCTCTCTCTCTCTATATATATATATATATATATATCCCTCGTGTTTGTCTCTTTGTTTTTCTCTCTTTCTCTCTCTCTCTCTCTCTCTCTCTCTCTCTCTCTCTTGCTCTCTTCCTGTAAATATGAGTACACATATAAATATGTGCATATATCAGAATGAGGGGGCCGAACGGTCGGTCCCTCACTGTCCCTGGGCGCGTGGCTGAAGTGAGGTTATGCGGTGCGGATTGTTGTTGTTGCTGTTTGCTGTTGCTTATTGTTGTTGTTGTTGTTGCTGTTGTTGGTGTTGGTGGTGTTGCTGTTGTTGTTGCTGTTATTGTTGTTGCTGTTGTTATTGGAGGTGGTGTTGGTGTTGTTGTTGCTGTTGTTGTTGCTGCTGCCATTGTTGTTGCTGCTGCTGCTGCTGTTGTTGTTGGTGTTGTTGTTGTGTTTTGTTTGTTGTTGTTTGTTGTCGTCGTCCCCCCGCGACCGGGCCCGCGACCCACCCGCGACCCACCCGCGACCCACCCGCCCGGCCCGCGACCCACCCGCGACCCACCCGCCCGCGACCCAACCGCGACCCATCCGCGACCAGGCCCGCGACCCACCCGCGACCCACCCGAGACCCGCCCACGACCCGGCCTGCGACCTACCCGCGACCCACCCGCGACCAACCCTTCGACCCGCCCACGACCCACCCAGCGACCCACCCAGCGACCCACCAACATTGCTTTAACAATTATATCGGCGCCTGCGGCGAGCTTGTTAGGCGCCTGCGGCGGGCTTCTCCAGAGCCTCGCAGACTGCCGACGTCTCCTCCTCCTCCTCCTCCTCCTCCTCCTCCTTCTCCTCCTCCTCCCCCTCCTCCTCTTCTTTCTCCTCCTCCTCCTCCTGCTCCTCCTCCTCATCATCATCTTTCTCCTCCTCCGCCTCTACCTCCTGCTCCTCCTCACCTCTCCTCGCTACTCACTCCTCGGCCTTCTCTGTCGCCTCCTCAAGAGAAGAAGGCGCGCGAATGGCCGGGCCGCCTCCCCGGCGACGAAGCGTACGCCATGGACTTCTGGCTCTGGCAGGGCCAGGCAGGCAGACGTCCGTGGGGAGGAGAGCGAACGGCAGAAACAACAAACTGCGCGAATGGACACCTGCGGAGGCCCGCGCGGACCTCCGAGGGGTTGATTACGCTATGGCGCTGCTTGACATCGGGGCGGGGGGGTCGCCCCCGGGCCTGGAAATTCTGGGAGGCAGCCTCGAACCCCTGGGCATGCAAGAACGCTGCCATCGGCGCGGTGGACGTGCGAAAACGAGAAGGTCGACAGCCCCAGGACCCCACGAGCTGAAAAAACAGCAGGTCTTCTTGCATCTGAGAAATGTCCTCCTCCTCTTCTTCCTCCTCCTCCTCCTCCTCCTTCTCCTCCTCCTCCTCCTCCCTCCTCCTCCTTCCCTCCTCCTCCTCCATCCTCCTCCTTCCTCCACCTCCTCATCCTCCTCCTCCTCCGCCTTTTCCCCCAGCCTCCCTCCTCCGCCTCCTACTCCTGCTTCCTCCTCCTCCGCCCTCCTCCGCCTCTATCCGCTTCCTCCTCCTCCTCTCCTCCCTCCTCCTCCTCCTCCTCCTCCTCCTCCTTCACGCCCCGCCCTCATTCGCCTCCTCCTCCTCCTCCTCCTCTCTTCCGCCTTCCCTCCTCCGCCTCCTCCTCCTCCCTCCTCCTCCTCCTCCTCCTCCTCCTCCTCCTCCTCCTCCTCGCTCCTCCTCCTCCCCTCCCCTCCTCCTCCGTCCTCCTCCCCTCCTCCTCCTCCTCCTCCTCCTCTCCTCCTCCTCCTCGCTCCTCCTCCTCCTCCTCCTCCTCCTCCTCCTCCTCCTCCTCCTCCTCCTCCTCCTCCTCCTCCTCCTCCTCCTCCTCCTCCTCCTCCTCCTCCTCCTCCTCCTCCTCCTCCTCCTCCTCCTCCTCCTCATGCCTCCTCCTCCTCCTCCTCCTCCTCCTTCCTCCTCCTCGCCCCCCCCTCCTCCTCCTCCGCCTCCTCCTCCATCCTCCTCCTCCTCCTGCCTCCTCCTCCTCCTCCTCCTGCCTCCTCCTCCTCCTCCTCCTCCACCTCCTCCTCCTTCCCCACTTCTCCCCTCCTCCTTATATCCTCCTCCTCATCCTCCTCCTCCTCCTCATCCTCCTCCTCCTCCTCCCTCTCCTCTTCCTCCTCCTGCTCCCCTGCTCCCCCTGCTTCCTCCTCCTCCTCCTCCTCCTCCTCCTCCTCCTCCTCCTCCTCCTGCTCCTCCTCCTCCTCCTCGTCCTCATGCTCTTATTGTTCTTATGTTTATTATTGGTAGTATTACCATTAGTATTAGTATTAGTAGTAGTAGTAGTATTACAAGTATCATTATTAGTTGTATTATTATGAGTATTATACCATTAATAATATTAGTAGTGTTATTGTTATGAGTAGTATCAGTATTAGTAGTATTATTAGTGCTGCTATTATCATTATTCTTAGTATCATTAATATTATTATTACTATTAAAACTAGCAGTGATATTAATATTATAATGATAAGTCATGCAAGTATGATTAATATTAGTAATATGTGTTATTAGTACTATTAGTATTAGTATTATGCTTGCTTTTCTTATTAGTACTACGATTTTATTACCATTCTTAGTAATTTCATGAATTAGTAGTATGAGCAGTGGTGTTCGAACTACTAGTAGTATTATTATTAGTAGTAGTAGTAGTAGTAGTAGTAGTAGTTTCCTTCTTAGTATTATTATCAGTACCCTTTTCATTGGTATTGGTAGTGTTGTCCTTCTGCTTCGTCTTAGTAGTAGTAGTAGTATCATTAGTAGTGGTGTTATGAGTAGTATTATTGGTATTACTATTCATTGTACGATTATCATTAGTATTAGAATTATCATTATTATTATTAGCATTAGTAGTATTACTATTAGCATTCGTATTCTCATTGGAATTATTAGTATTGATCGTATTATTACTAGTATTACTATGATTTGTCTACTATTATTTGTCTTATATAGTAATAGAAGTACTATGATGCGTAGTAGTAGCATTAGTACTACTACGATTAATAATATTAGTTTGCTTGTTCCTAGTATCCTTATTAGTCGTATTATTCGTATTATTAGTCGCATTCGCATTAGTATGTTTACTAGTAATCGGAATATTCGTATCGTTCTTCACAAGATAACTATCACTTAACATTCGTCTTAATAGTACTACCATTCTTATTACTATTGTTAATCTTTCTCTTCGGATTATCACTATTCGTATAAGTATGAGTCTCGTTATTAAACTTTTATCATGATTGATCGGATTATGACTCATAGTAATATTAGTGTTGTTAGTCTTCTTGCTCTTACTACTATTAGCATTCGTACTATAATTATTATTAGCACTCTGTTTGTTATTCTTCATATTATAAGTTTTGGTATTGCTACTATTATTATGCGTATGATTCTTCTTCTTAATATTACGATTAGTATTGTTATTACTTTCTTGATATTATTATTATTATTATTATTTTGACGGGGAGCCGGCGGTAAGCCCTCAACCAGTTTACCGCCGGGACCCTCGTAGAGCTCTTAACACGCGAATTAGCGCTCAGATTACGAGGAGAAAGTTTGCTTGAATATCAGTTTCAACACTTGCAGAATGTATTTTTGGAGTTTTATACGAAGTCGGTTCCCCTACGTCTTTTGATCATAAGATTGCAGCTACGGACATGAGAATTTGACAGGCAGACGCGCCATAACCCACTACACGTGAGAAAAATACTGGTTCTCAAAACGAACTTTCAAATCTCTCCGAATCTTCAAAAAACCGACCCCAGGTTGCCACATTGTCCGTCCAGGCCGGGTGGGCCAACTAGCTCCACCCGGCGCCGGAATTCCTCTAGCTCATCGTTGCCGAAGACTTCTACGAGGTATTTTGCTGTGTCTTAGTATTCGTTTTATTCTTCGATATATTATTATAATGAATACTAGTAGTATTAGTATTGATAATATTATTGTAATTGTTCGTAGTATTATCATTCAGTTTATTCCTCCTCCTCCTCCTCCTCTTCCTCCTCCTCTACTTCCTCCTCCTCCTCCTCCTCTAACTCCTCCTCCTCCTCCTCGTCCTCGTCCTCCTCATCCTCCTCCTCTAATTCCTCCTGGAAACTCCTCCTCCTCCTCCTCCTCGTCATCCTCCTCATTCTCCTCCTCCTCCTCCTCCTCCTCCTCCTCCTCCTCCTCATCGAACTCCCCCTCCTCCTCCTACTCCTCCTCCTCCTGCTCCTCCTCCTCCTCCTCCTGCTCCTCCTTCTCCTCTTCCTCCTGCTCCTCTGCTCCTGCTTTTCCTTCTCCTCCGCCTCCTCCTCCTCCTCCTCCTCTTCCTCTCTCCTCCTCATCCTCCTGCCTTCTTTTTCCTTCCCTCCTCCTCCTCCTCCTCTGCTCCTCCTCCTCCTCCTCCTCCTCACTCGCCTCCTCCTAACCCTCCTCCTCTCCTCCTCACTTTCCCTCCTCCTCCTCCATCCTCCTCCTTCTCCTCCTCCTCCTCCTCGCTCCTCCCGCCTCCTCCCTCCTCCCCCCCTCCTCCCTCCTCATTCTCTTCGTCTTACCTCCTCCTCATCCCTTCCTCCTCCTCCTCCTCTTCCTCCTCCTCCTCCTCCTCCTCCTCTTCGTCCTCCTCGTCCCATTTCTCCACCATTCTGACCCCACCGCAGTCATGTGGCCCACATTGCCGTACCGACTGATACATGCTGAGAGCACGCAACCCAACAGAAAACTTACAAGAAGGCGCGTTCCAAAATATGCAACTCGGACTGCATGGAAAAACAAATCCGCTGGCCCCTTGTGGGGTCATCAGGTTCCAGGGATTAGGTTTGCCGCTTCCTGGCCCAGCTCGTTTCCAATACCCGAAGTTACAATTCTTTGTTGTGCTTCCGATTGCGAAGAGGTACAGTCCGCGCGAGGGGGGGAGGCGAGAACGACCTTGGTTCCCATCACCTGGGGGGATTATCAAAATCTCTGGGGGTCGTGGGACACATCAAGATACATGATATTCGCGCCCCCGACGCCGGAATCCTTCGTATATTACACCAGGGTCGCGTCCACGAGGCCACAAACCCTTGCAAGTTACGCTGTGCTCGCGCTCCCGAAACCATAATCCTTTGTCAATTGATCAATATTCGCGTCTCCGGAGCAATAGTCTGTCGTAAATCAAACAAAATCTGCGTCCACGAAGCCACGCTTTCTGTTCCGCGTTCCCGAAATCATTAAAACCATCGTACAATATTAAATGTTTTGGCTGTCGAGGCCACAATCCTTTTACAAGGAGCCTCCAAGACGACACAAGAGGACTCCGAGACGGTCCACGAGTGCTCCAAGGCGCCTAAAATGGCCCCAAAACGGCCCAAGAGTCTCCCGAGAGGCCCCCAAGAGCACCCCCACGAGGGGCCCAAGAGGCCAACATCTGCGATGTTGTTTTGGTTGTTTTGTTTATGGATTCTGGCACGCTCATATCTCCACTGGCCCCCGCTCGGAATTCCAGCGACGTTTCACGGCGGCGCCCAGGCCTCACAACATAAGCCTCGCATACCCCATTATCCGACAGGGGGCCTGCGGAAGGAGGCGAAGCCCTTTTACGGATATGAACGGACAGTCGGTAATTACCAAAGAACAGGGAACAGGCAGCCACAGCAAAGCGCGAGACAACAAAACAGACAAAAACTCCGATGGTACGACCCCACACGAAAATTGATTGAGATTGCCGTTCGCTCTTTCATCGTCGCCCTGGCCAAAGCCCCCCGCATCGCCCTCTGTTGCGCCTCCTCCTCATCCTCCTTGCCTTCCTCGTCATCCGTCTCCTCCTTGTGCTCGCCCTCATTATTTAATGTATCCTCTTCCTCTTCGTTATTGTCCTTTTCTCCCCCCCTCTCTTCAACCACCTCCCCCTCCTCCTCCTCCTCCTCCTCCTCCTCCTCCTCCTCCTCCTCCTCCTCCTCATCATCATCATCATCATCATCATCATCATCATCATCATCATCATCATCATCATCATCATCATCATC